GTGGGAGCAGTATCGTCAACTTCCGGAGGCAATCCCCTGATTCGGCGGCTTGTCAGATGCACGGGAGTATTGACTGGCACTGTACTTGTACTACGGCTTCCTGGGGGGGTCTGCAGCATCCGTGAGACTACCCAGCAACTTCCACCAATTTGTCACGATTCAGTCCCAAGTACTGGGGGTTTATTAAACCACCGAGTAGCTAGCTCTGGGGCGATGCGTCAGTCGTGGCTGGCTCTCGAGTCGAGAAGAAGCACTCTTCTTCTGTGTGGGTGGCAATATATATATATATATATATATATATATATATATATATATATATATATATATATATATATATATATATATATATATATATATATATATATATATGTGTGTGTGTGTGTGTGTGTGTGTGTGTGTGTACACACGCACGCACACGCACACACACACACACACACACACACTTGGTGGTCACAAGAACTGTGCCCAATATTCTTTAAAAATCAGCAATTGACACTATTTGCTAGTTGATTTTTCTGTAGCGGCAGGCATTAAAATAAGATTGGAGTGATCATTTGGAACAGTAATTAGGAAAGTTAAATTAACCTTTAATTAGTAGAGTTTGGCAGTTACATCAAATAGAAGAATTGAAGTCCTTGATGCGAAAAACTCATTGTCGCTTTAAGATTTCAGAAAAGCCGCTTCTAGTAATAACAACAAATTATTAAAATTCTCCTATATTCTGTGGCGAAACCGAAACCAACTGACCAAAGAGCGCAACAAGCAGACGACTACAATGATGTCACTGTTCAAAACAGCAATTACCGGGGTGCAGTTATTCCCCCTTTGACAACGTAACTTCAAGCGTAGCCCACACACCCACACGACGATGTCGTTTGATGGTTGATATAATAACGCTCCCTCATTTCAGTTGCGCTTTCGAATTTCGGTTTTGATTTCGCCGCAGACTTGGATAGAACTTTATTATTTCGCAGTTATTAGCAGAGGCCACTTTTCCGAAATCTCAAAGCGGCAATCGGTTTTTCGCATGAAGGACTTCAATTTTTCCATTTGGCGTAACTTCCTAACTCTACTAATTAAAAAAAATAAAGATTTTAACTTCCCTAACTTAATTAGAAAAATTAAAATTTGAAATGGTAATTAAATTGCCATTCCAAATAATACTTTCAACCCTCTTAAGATGCCTGTCACTATAGAAAAAGCAACTGTGAAGACAACGAGCAAATAGCGTCTTTTCCAGATTATTTAGGAATATTGGACACATTTCTTGAAACACCCTGTGTGTGTGTGTGTGTGTGTGTGTGTGTGTGTGTGTGTGTGTGTGTGTGTGTGTGCGCACGCGTGTGTGTGTGTGCGTGCGTGCCTGTGTGTGTGTGAAAGTACACCTTTTTGTGTCTAGCAGTTACATTATTGATTAGTGTGACGCTGTGAAATCGTTATTTACAATTCATACCACGGAGTCATTCACCAAATTTGCAAATCCTAGATATGCTTGTTTATTCAAATCTTGTTTTCAGTGTAGTTGTCAATATGTCAGTCTGCTATTATATCAAGATTTTGTTCATTTTAATTTGTTAAAAATGGCACAGCCATGTTTTTTAAAAGTAAGAGGACAGATGTATTTCCATTCATTCGTATTGACTAGAATTGTTGCATTTGCATGAATTGAAAACTACAATTGTCTTGTAAACCACAAGAATGTGACTGTGATGAGTACAGGCCTGATTTTCAGGCACTAAAAAAGTGTGTTTTAGGCACCAAAGACAGGCCGGTAAAACTATGTTTTAGGCCTTTAAAATCATAAATATAGGCACAATAAATTTCCACAAAAATTGAAATATTTTAAAACGAAGACATTGGTGACTTGTACCTATGACAATAAGCAAAAAAAAATGTTAATGTTTAAGGTAGCACAAAGGTACCAACGGCTGAACATAGGCATGCATTTCCCGCGCGATTCGCAGATTACGGAATGTCGATTTATTGTCCATCATTGTGAGTCAAGTGTCCACCGTCAAATCACCACTCTCCTGGGTCTCTTTCGTTTCATCGTGGCTAGGAAGAGCAGCGAAGGAGGAAATAACCAGACCACTGATACCCCAGAAGGAAGGGATGCCAGGTCTAATCGCGTAATTTCTCCTCTGTCGGGGAACACATTAGAGCGCCTCTCACTAGGTTCGGGCATTTCAAGCTGACGAGCGTAATGAATGCACTGGGCACTCAGAATCATACCTGTTAAGATTTGGAAAGTGACGTGTTGCGGAAAAATGCTAAATTTCTACTGAATGCCACTTGCCCTTCTCACGGGCATGTGCCCCAATTTGGATGGAATGACATACAGCAAGAAATAGTCCTGCTTTTACGTCGCTTCTTTACGTTGACATTCGGGCTCTGACGTTGCTCACCGTACACTCTTTATCAGATCTTGGTTAAATGCTAGCTATATAAAAAAAGAGACGATAAATGTCCCGTCTCTTGATTATATCCTGTATTTTAAACGGTACCTCATTAAGAGTGTTGTATGCTAATTATTCTAGTTGGCATGTGCAATTTGTGTGTTCTGTTGTGTAGCATGAATGAGCAGTACTTTGGTTTGGGCTAGCTGCGTCATATCATTTTGAAAGGGAAGCGCAAAGACAGTGGAAAAAGAAAGACAGCGCTGTTTGCGTCTATGTCTTTCTTCCCCTTGCATCTTTGCTCTGTGCTTTCAAAAGTACAATGAATGAAAGCTGAAAAAAATAAAATGATAAAATGTGCAAACGGACTGTTAGGTTGTTATTTTTATTTTTGTTTTCAATGGCCGCAAAAATCTCTACACTGATCAGCCCCCATTTCGCGTCCACCTTGGTGGACCAGAGGCTAGGGTGCTCCACTGCTGACGTGAATGTCGCGAGTTCTATTTCGGCCGCGGCTGTCGCATCTATAGATAAAGGCATAAAGGTAGATGCCGGCGTACTGCGCGATGTCAGTGCACATTAAAAAAAATGCCAGATAGTCAAAATTTTCGGAGACCTCCACTACGGCATCCCTCATAATCATAACGTCTTTTTGTCACGTAACTCGCACATACTACCACTACTACTTCTACTATTTTATACTACTACTGCTACTACCCCATTTCTCTTGCGTTCGTACTCTCGTCCTTCCTGAATCGTGTCTTCACTAACTCTGACAATGCTTAGCTTGTGTTTGGTGCGTCGTCTCTGACCGCAGTTTCAGCAAAGCGGCGTTGTGTATCGCTGTGTATACATGATGCATCCCAGCCTCTCCAAAAGTACACCCACTGACTGATTCATCTCACAGAAGCAGGTAATACACAACAGAGAACGTCGGAGCAACACAACATCGATGGCGTACGAGCATGAACAGGCTGGAGCACGTCATCGTGCGTGACCTTACTTACACATGATGTTCTTGGTGGAATGCATCATGTGATTCTCCATCCCCGATAGCGAGGAAAGCAAGGAAGGAATTAAGCTCGTGATGGCTACATGGGGCGAGAGACAAGGGATTCAAGCTTGCGTCCTTGCATCATGGTTTAGTGGCTCGTAGCAAACCAATTTGAAAAATCACCATGGTAGAACGCTTTTCATTGGGCATGCAAGAACTTCTAGGTGTCTAACTATCACTTATGTCACCTAGTGAGGGGTGCTTAAAAAAGTAAATTACAAGCAAAACAAAAGCTTTGTGCACATCACATTTTTTACCCGAAGCCGCTGCAAAAGGTGGGTTACAAAGTCAAAAAGAACACGCCTTCACTGATACAGCTCACTTGTTCTCTTTAAAAGCCATTTCATTCAGCCACAAAACTAGCAAAAACAAATTAATATAAAAATTAGATACCATACAATATTCTAGAACCTGAAAACAATTACCATTGCTCGAAGAGGCCTGCTTAGGTACAATCATTTTTGAATACGTGTTTTACCATGAAATGCTAGACATAGCAGCTTTAACCACAGTTTAATTCGGCGTAATGATAGCACTTCCCATCGTAGTTCATTTTTCATATTAGTGCAGCTGTCATTGTTTTGTGTAATGGCTCAGGGCAAACATTGCGGCCCTGTTCTGTATTTTTTTATGTTTGTCACTTGAAGACATATGCCAAGGGATCTCATACGGCACAAGCGTATTCAGGCATAAGGAAAATGTATGCTAAATACACCGTTGATTGTAAACATGCCGGCGCCTGTATCAGAATTCGCTGTATTAAGTACAACAATTTGGCGGACTACGTCACCACTGAATCAACATGAGCATTCCGTGAGTGGCCCTCCTTGGTTTTTCATTCGTTCTGCACCTTTCCGCGGATGCATCGAAAAAGCTGCTCTTCTTCAGTTCCTTCAGGACACTGGACAGCTCCGTGTAGATTATGGCCTTGACCGTGGACGTCACTCTTATTCCTATTTTTAATTCTCTCTCCTCATTCCCCTGCAGATGCTGCTTCCACTTAGGGCTGAGAAATAGCGTGTTTGCACTTCTCTTGCTCCTCCTCTAATCACTCACGTATGGTGGCCAGCGAGTGTCATTTCACTGCGATTAGCGGTTGTTTTGCGGAAGTTGCTAGAACTAGAGGACTTTGTTGAACCTCATAGTGTTTGGAATAATCAATGTTGACTTTTACATGAATAACAATTGCAAACCACGCTCAAAAACAAAATTTAGGCTTAAGTACTGCTCATATAGGCGCTGATTTAGAACATAAGCACTTATAGGCATTTAGGCTCGAACCCCTGAAATAGGCATTCATAGACACTATAAAAACACTATAAAAGCCCTTCTTAACCTCTCATTCATGCTCATACATTAAAATGGCACGATAGGAATGCAAGGAACCAAATAGGCATTTGCCTATAATCCGGTCTCTAGTGATGAGCTTAGTCAACTTCATGCAATATTGTGTATGCATGAGATACTTTGATTAAAAAAAAAAAAATTCTCAGTGTCTTCAAAGCTATGCTAATGTCTCCTTATCATATGGGGTACTTTATTTCTTGCAGGTTCTCGAAACTTGCAACATGGCTCTATCTGGACTGTTACAGCCTTTACCAGTGCTTTTGCGGTTCTCTGTTGTGGTCTTTGAGTGTGGGCCATTTCTGCCTTGTATTATAAATGTACATAACTGTCTGAAGAAATATTTGTTCCTTGTTGAATTAATAAAGTTGACTTGAACAGTAGCTGTTGCTCTAACTGCTTATTGTTGAAAAGTGTTCTTCGGACCATTACAAATGTATCAAATGTGTCAGCCGCTGTCTTCTCCATGGTTATTGAGACAGGCTAACAGCTTATTGTTCACTGCAAAAAAAGGATTTCACTGTAGATTAAATTGCATAAAAAAGAAAGAATGTGCCTGAGCAGTTATCTCTCACATAAACCACCTCGCATGCCAGATTGATAAGTATCACATTGTGCCTGGGCATGTGCAGATAAGCTTTCGCGTGCACCTTCTTTTCCGCCACTGTGCACCTTTTTCAATTATTGGTCGGAATTCATGGTGTCTCAAAATGTATCTTGTGTCTATGTTTGCACGCTCTAGTCTCTTTAACATAAAAGTACACATAACAATGTTGTTGAATACAGTTTGCGTACCTTTTATGAAAACTCATTATTATGGAAGGTGCACATTATGGGCAGATTCGGCAAGAAATAATTTGTCCACAGCAAGAAAAAACACATTTAAAATCTTCTGGGTGATTTTGTACTATAAAAAATCTTGACTTTGAAGTAGCTAACTACAATAAAAATGTTTTTAAAAATTAGTGCAGTTTGGTTGCATAACACAGGCTGATAAATACACTTTATAGTCACAGAATCAATCATGAGAACATTTTTGGCACAAGACACAATGATAGTGAAAGGAACTGCATGCAGATAACCATTTGAATGTAGCTATTTTGTCATAATGTCACTAGTCAAAGCAACTTTCATTTGATTATAAAGTAGTGCATGGAAAATAATATTCAGAAATTAATGTCACTAATGAAAAAAAAAAAACCCTTCTGCCATGCACTTGTCCTACCGATTTCTATCATTATTCCCAACAACTACCCCTACTCATTCATGCCAGTGCCAATCGCTTAATCCAGCATGAACAAATCACACATCCATGTGCTCATTCCATTACCTCCAGCTGAGTTTAGGCAAATGGGCATATCAATATGCAGTTTAATTTCTTTTGCTGCACTTCGCTGAGAGGTATTTTTTAGGGCTCCCATACATTACGAGAAAATATTTTTTGTGAAAAACAGCTTTTCTATTCAATGTGTACACTTTTTTAAAGGATGCAGCATTTTTTTATAAGCATATTTTGAATAAAGCTTCTCAAAAATAATACTAAACTTGGAAAATTTTCCTCAGATTTTTTGGAAAGATTACAAGAATTGAAGCACCACTGAGAATGGAAACATCCAACCAAGAAAATACCCTGAACTAAGTATAATGTTGGCATGGCATCCACTGTATGCATGATGTACAGAAAATTGTTTTTAAAAAGGCCACATACCAATTCAAGTGTGCCACTTTACCAAGAACTCCAAAAGAAAAACAGAACGCACCTAGGAAAAAAGTATGTTGAAATGTGTTCCACAAACAACTAGTGCTTGTACCACCCTTTCCAATACATGTTTGAATGCAGCCATTCTTGGTTGTTGTTATTTACAATAATAATAACCAATTTATTGGTTATTGTTTCATGAATAAATTAAACAAATATTAATGTAATAAATGTTAATGCAATAATGGCTATTTGGGGACAAGTTGAATCAGTTGCTCATTATTAGAGAGCAAAAACTTGTATTTGAGACTTCCACAGGTCTACAACTGAGCCGTCGTCGTCACCTTTGTGCAACAGGCCCCAGGCCTGGCCAACCACCCGACCTTGACCGATCCGTGGACCTCACCACCACTTATGAGCCTTTACTTGACTTTATACACGAGTTGACATTGCACGTGTATTTTTTAATAAAAAATTTTGCCTACGGGCAGATTTTTAAAATAAAAAAATAAAAAGCAAATTGAGATTCTATAAAAACAGTCCAGTTGCAAGCTACTAGTATCCCATAAACTGATTTATTGAAGCAAGATGGGGTCTACATATGCCAAAATATTTAAATGCGGGATCTCGCGGACAAGAGTTTTTGGGGGGAAGTTAAGGAAATAAATGCACCACAAGCACAACCACACGTACTTTCAGGTCCTGAAATCTACGAGGGTTACACAGTAAGTAGATCACACAAAATATTACCAGGAACTTTGAGATTGCTTCTTTTGCGGGGTTCACACCTGGTGCTCCTTTCCTTGTGGATCTTCACACCTTGGGTATCTTCGTGGTTGCTTGCTATTCAGAAACTTTTCTTGTTGCCTTTTAAAGAAGTGCTAACATGATTTTGAGACATTGCAAAAGGGACATTTTTGGTTCCCTTGGTGTGTGGTGTCAACGCTCAGCACGCACCGGTGTCGGACGTTCTGAAAAAACAATTTTTTTGTTTGTTTAAAGTTGTCATCTATGAGCATCTGTAAGTTGGCCCCATCGCAATGGACATTCTCCTGACGAGTCCCAACAGTTTTTATTTTTATTTATTTACAGCATACTGCTGTAAATACTGCTGTGGCCCAAGCAGGAGCGGCAAGGTACAAAATAAACGTACAATTTACAATTGAAAATCTCAAACGAAAATGCCTGATAAACAACTCTAAATCGAAAAGGATTAGAAACAGTGAGGATGTGATTCTGTATTGATTCAGGCGAGTTCAGATGATGAAAAGGTATCAGGTTCTATTTTTCAATAGTTCAGGGGAAAAAAAAATACTTTACAAAGTTCAGTTCTGGCAAGATAAGGAGAGTGAACGAGTGGGAATGACGAGTTTTCCTAGTTTCAGAAAAGCTTATGTAAGGTCTGGGATCTATTAAAAATTTACTACTAAAGAAAGAACGAAGGAACTTCAGTCAGGAAATCTTACACCTGATTCGAAGAGTTTGAAATCCGTTGGAGTGTAAAAGCTTAGTAACAGCATCATTGCGGCTGCATTTAGAAAAAATGAATCTCATGTCTTTTCTCTGTATTCTTTCAAGAGCATCAATGCTGCTTTTGATGAAGGGATCCCAAATAATGCAGGCTTATTCTAACTTGGGTCTGATGAGAGTCGTATAAGCTAAAGTTTTCACATCATGGGGTGCATGCTTAAGCTTGTGGCAAAGAAGACAATTTTCTGAAAGCCGAAGAGGTGATGTTAGGAATGTGGGTGCTCCAAGTAAGGTTGTTAGTAAGAGTAACTCTTTGTATTCATTAACTTCAGCCGTTTATTGCTCCACTTAAAAATATGGTTTAATGCTGAACTAAGCAACAACTGATCTTCAACTGTATTAATCTCATTAAAAATAATGCAGTCATCTGCGAAAAGATGGACAATGACAGGGGCTTGTACGGTATCTACTATGTCGTTACAATAAATAAGAAATAATGGAGAGCCAAGCACACTTTCTTGGGGGACCCCAGAGGCCACCGAGAAAGAATCAGATTGCTGTCCGTTAATCACAACACGCTGTTCCCGATACATTAGGTGAGCAGTTATCCATGACAGGATAAAGCCAGGAAATTTATCGATATGTAATTTGTAGATTAATTTGTCATGAGGGACTACATCAAAAGCTTTTTGAAAATCTAAAAATTTGGCCATTTGGCCACCTTTGTCAGGGACAGAAACGAACAAATGCATGACTGTACTCAATTGGGTGACAGTTCATAGACCCTTCCTGAAGTCATGTTGAAAGGGAGTTAGAATTTTATGCCCATTTAAGAATTTACTCATGTAGTCTGCAATGATATGCTCAAATATTTTGCAAGACTACGATAAAATAGAAATCGGACGGTAATTTAAGGCGTAAAAAGGTAACCCTTTTTCATTATTGGGACAATACGTGTATGTTTTTTATTGGGTGGAAGCATCACGGATTCTAGAGAGGCCTGAAAGACTGGTACAAGAAATTTACTAAGTCACTAGTTAAGATATGTTGCATAGAGCCATAATCTACTTCGTATAATGCACCAAAGATACAGCAGTTGGTAAATGCAGATAGATGTAAAGGCACCGTATGTGAAGCATTTCTGGAATTCATGGTTAGCAGTTGGCTTACATAGGTAGTTATTAGGATTTCAATAGAGCTCAGGCACCGCTGAATTCTACACTGTGATAGTAACACAGTCATGCAACCCCATCTTTTTTGGAGCCTTCTCTGCTTTCACAAGTTTGGAGAGGAGATGTCCTATTTAATATTCATTCTGGTAACGATTGTTTTTTGCATGCATAATGCACAAGAGCATGGGTTCGATTTCTGGCCTCGATGACTACATTTTGATAGTGGTGAAATTCATAAAATGCTAAAATACTCAGTTTTAGGTGCATGTGAACTACACAGCTTCAGGCAGTCTAAATTAATCTACCCGCCGTGGCGTGCTGCATCATCACAGTGTGGTTTTCACACTTGTAACCCCAATATTTCATATACCACTGTTTTGATTGGAGATCACTTAATGATGTCTATGTCATGTGTTTTGCCATAGTGGCTAGCATGGCTAGGAATTATGCAATAATGCTGAATTATGTCTCCCCCTCCATAAAAAAAATTTGTTTACCAGTGTACCCAGTTTATTGAAGAAGCTTTACGTTTACAGCAAGCATCATCGAGAAAACCCAACCAGCTGCAGTAAGAAAAAAAAAGTGTAAAGACAACTATATATCAACTAGAGGATTGCCAAGTATTGCTTGTGCTGAACAGTGGAGAAATTTGCGTTGAAGCCAGTGCTTTCATGATGTTGGCTTTCCAGTCACTGCACCCCTATCATCTGTCAATTTTTTTCCTCTTTCTGAAAACTATACATAGGGCATCAGACAAACAATCACAGTCATTTACCTAATGCACCATATAAATGATAGTAAAGAAACTGACAGGCAACTGAACATGCCAAGAAAGGGTTTATACAGCTACCTTGCACTGCACCAAGGCCATACCCAGGAGGCATTCTGACAACCCCAAAATTATTAGTGACCTTATATATTACTCCTCAGGACAACTTTCCTATGCCATACGTATAGGGGGTATCCACAAGGCGCCAACACCATCATCGCGTCATTTTGAAGGTCTGTCTATAAGCGCAGTCTTGCTGTCCATGTTTCGGTGTGCAGGAGTGGTTTTGGAGGTCTCTACAGTCAGATACAATTGTTGAGGTCCGCAGCATTTCCTTTTCAAAGACAGACGAATACAAGCCAGCACCAATGTATGCGCACTCCAGACTGGCATCATGAGCTAGATGGCCGGTAAATCCGTCTTCAATGAACATTTCCGAGTGCATCGCGCAAGACTATTTCTTTATTCACGAAGGCGATCCGCTTAAGAGCTTTGGTCGTCTGGTCGGAGCATCTCCAGACTTCTTAAGTTGTATTGAACTAGTCATCCAAATCGTCGTACGAATCCGACACAGCGCATTTAGCAAGTTTTTTGTGCAAACCTACAATATAGCAACCTTGCCACAAGCACTTGTCGGGGATGACGTCAAGTGCATACACCCTACATGCCAATATAACATCTCACAATTTTACACTGTTAAATGGCGAGAATTCTCTTGATTCACTTGCACGAAGAAGTAGAAAATTTTCACAGTGTTCCCTGCAATGCACCTCCAAAGGTAAATTCCTAGTCACAGCCTAACACAATGCTACACAGTAGCTGCAACTAAGTCAGTAAAAAGAGATAGACTTCTCTGTTGTCAAGATTTATTTTGTGAAACACTAGGACAGCATACTTGAGTGTCATCTACAAGAACACCTAATTTGAGCTGAAAAGGCTCTAGGCAAACAGCAGAGATCATCAAATATTACCAAAGTTGGAAGGCCAGTATATGCGCATGCATTGCATCAACACCATTCAGAATTTTCTGTAGCAAACAGGCACTCCTGGCAGCAGGCCTAAAAAATAGAGCAAGGAAGACACTACGTAAAATCCAAGAATGTGATGTGGCATTCTGCAAGCTTTTCCAGAAGTATTTCTTGCCTTTGCTCTAGGTGACATTTTATTCCCCACAGAGCAAATAGCAGGCACATTGACTCAAGTGACACTAGGTCTGTATTCTAGATCACTTGCAGAAGTTAATAAAGGCAGGACTTTCTACCATTTTGGCATGAGAAACTTCAACTTGGTTCTCATGCGTGCAAACAAATTAAACACCGAAATGATTAAGAGGCTTTTCTGTGGATACAGTGTTACTTGAAACACCTCACACTTCTATTTTTGTTGCAGTTTACTTTTCAGTACTGATTAAAGAAAGTTAGAGCCTGGTATTTGAAATTAACTTGGCCAAGTACTAATGGTACTGATTAAACTGACACTAAAACATAATCCACTCTAATTTGCACAAGTACTTAAGGCATTTGAAAAGAAAGAAGTTTTTATTTTTTTAGTAAAAAGGCAAGTTTTGCCAGCAGCGGTTCCATTACATGAGTCACGTGTTGCCTTAGAAGCACAACAGCATCCAACAACTTGTCTAATGTTGCAAGACAAAAATACACAGCTGTGAATCTACTATCTTTCTTTTTAAACCAGCAACACACATTTTTACTTTCTTTTTCTTAGACACAATTCAACTTTTAGTCCATTTCCTGGCTGGTGCAGAAGCAAACGCTTGTACATGACGCTGAAAGGGGTTAATGAAACCAGTTACATACATTCATAAGTGTCGGCAGGATATTTTCTAAGGGGTGGTGGAAAGCCTTGTTACATCGTACTTGGGGGCGGGAGCGCTGGTGTAGCTTAGGTGGCGGCAAGTGGCGATATGGTTTGAGGGGGGTAGGTGCCCCTTTTGGACCCACCTGCTAAGACTCAGGTAAAAATTCACAGTAACCTGCTGGCCAAGATACATTTCTGTCATTATCAAGCACAGATTAATGAATGCCTCAATTTATTTGACAATATACCTCAGCAATATATATTTCTAGATATCAAAGAACCTTAAAGTGACCTTTCTTATTTTTGTAAGTTTGTTACAGGGAAGCTCACATTATTTTATTCTTTCAAGACTGCAAGCTCATTGAGCTTGATTCTCAGATGAAGTCGAATTGAAATAATTTTCTTTATATCACGAAATTTATAAGATTTAGTTTGATAAAACCAGGGCTCTTCAGCACAGGCAATGGTACTTGCTAGCCTGGTTCACGAGTGCCAGTTCCAATGAAGTTAACAAGAACACTACTTTCTGGCACAATATGCACAAAATGACTAGGCCAATATACAAGTGCTCAAAGTGTATATTACTTGATGTAATATACACTTTGCAACAAGCAGCAACACTGACAACAGGCACAAGATGTCCTTGTAAAGCTTTCTTTTTTTTTTTTTTTGACTAGCTATTAAAGCATCACAGGCACACAAAGCACATTTTCTGGAAACATTACAAATGCCACTAAATTTGCCTGGAAAGGCACATTGCAGAATGCTAATGTGTTGACATTGACCAACGCTACTTGTGAGCACAAGCTTGGGATATCTAACTCAACCAGGAGCATAGATAAAGCAGCGTCTCCTCTATTTTATCAATGCCAGCCAGATGCACCGATCCAGCTGTTCACCACGCTATCCTCTAGCCCTTTCCTGATCTCACCCATCGCCTAGCCTTCGCATGTGCTTTGCAGTCACGATGGAGAAAACCTCTCATGCAGTTCCTCATGATGGAAATCATATGAAGTCATTTTTTGTTAAGTTGTGTACAGATCCGTGGGACGGCATCTAGCACTCCTAATGTTTACAATATTGGCAGTCACACTGGCTCTGTAACAGATACGGTGTTTTGAGATAGCGTGTCACCATTCATGGCGCTATGCGGGCAACCAATGGCGAAGCGGCACTGAAATGCTTCTGCATGCGCTGTGATGCGGTGGCGGCATTGCTTCGACCCACAAAGAAGGAGCACGAAGGAACAAATCGGACAGACTTCTGATATTGGTGTAGGAAAAATGCGTATCGAATCTTCGAGGAAAAGCGCCCAGAAGCATGTGTGACGCTACCCATCATGTAGCGTCACATTACGACCACTTTCCGCTCTAAGGCGGACCGCCGGCTCCCATTGATAAGCGTGCGTTTGCACTGGCATTAAAAAAAGTAAAGGAGGCATTGGATAGAGTAACTGTCACGAACAGTACAAATCATGCGTAGTATTTTTCCTTTCGCGGCAATAAAGCCTTGAAACTATGTGAACCTTCCACGTATTAATGCGAAATGTTAGCACTAATGCAAAAGGTCAGGAAGTGAGAGCTACTTTTGTCTGCTGCAGCTTCGAATAGCATTCGACAAGTGGATGTAAGATGCGGTTCAATTTGGTTCGAACCTGCACCTCTATTGGCAACCCAGTTGAAGTCTCGGCACCAGCATGCCAAGCAGCATACACAAGTGCTTCACTCTGCAACTGACCACAGCTATTTTGGCGCCATGTGCATCCAGAAGCACTCAATTGATACACTCCTTCAGTTGTCCAAAAAGCCCACAGGCTTGGCAACACACCACGGAAAGATCCCTGCAAGCTCGATTCTTCCAGCAAAGAGCCATCTGTTAAATCATAGAGCTGCACAGCAGAGTCTTCAAACAGACAGAGAGTTGATGCAATTATGCAGCAGCCCATAACACGAGGGGACACATCTTGCAGGATTGTCTGCCGCAGAACATCTCCTGACGAGCTCAACATGATAACCGAGTTGTCCTTGAGAAGGAGACACAGGCAGTTGGCCAAAGGGGACACACAACTGTGGTTGACAACAGCAGCGTGTGTTTGCACCTGCCAGAACCGAATATGCCTTTTGTAGAAAGCAGCCATGTCTAACGGTGATGACAGTGTCGTGGTTAAAAAGACTGCCTGTTTTGCCAAAGAGCCCATTTTAAAGTCATGGGTGTAACCAAACGAAAGATAGATATTCGGCGGATCTGGGAGACATGGGATAACTACTGCAGCATGCCGCAACACGTGCAAACGGAAAGGCGGTAACCTGTGGGCCAGACACTGTACGTTCGGGAGGGTGTCAATGTCTGTTGCAACGGAGCACTGCCACAACGAGTACCCCACTTCGTCGCGGAATTGGCTTGACCGCTGAACCCAGAAGAGATTGCTTCCACTACAGATGCCAGTATATTCGACAGTAGAAGTCGCGTCCAATGGCAGGTGAAACTTAATACCGTCAATCCACCCATCGCCACGACTGTAGCGCAAAGTACGGACAGTGCCATCATCGAAAACAAGAACAACAAGATTGCTACTAGCACTCAATAGATCTCGCAAAGGTGCATCCAGCGGTATCTTGAATGGCTTATCTGGGCTGGATGGAGAGAAGCTGACACAGCACGCGTACAAATTTTCATCACCGTTCAATATATAAAACAAATGGTTCACACGCACACACCACAACTTCGCAATGCTGGCTGGTTCCAAGTTCGCAGTAGGCAATGGTACCGGCACGGCTTGGTAGCGATTGCGTTCGTCCGAGGAAGAAATAAAAGGCAACATGGCTAGGCTACCGAAGCACAGGATCTTCACAAAATTAGTCACTTCACGCACAGCTGACGTTTGTTTTTCTTATTTACATGGTCAATAAACGAAGGTTGTCATACCGATTTATCAGCAGACCAGAAAGGAAAAAGAAATTTACTCCTTTAGATTTGCTTAAGTTATGCGCGGCACAATGCACAACCACGCAAGTTGACCCACATTTTCTACATCTTTTAACACCTACTTATTTCGGATCAGGATACGTCAGACCGACAAAGGAAGCGGAAGCAATTGCTTTATGTATGGACAAGTAGTTTCAAGAAGCATGGATGAAGAAAAATTGTTTTGACCTTTGACCCTCACATCTCCACGAAGCAGATTACATGGCTGCATGCATAAAGTTTTATATAATAGTTTATTGCTGTAAGAAACTCTATAACTGCATGCATAGATTTTCTCACAAAATTATGTTTTTGAGAAAGTCTATGGCTTCATGCACGTGGCATAAAGCTGCATATTAATTATGTGATGCATGGCTTTGTTTCTTATTTGCAGCTATGTTTTAAATTTAGGGCAACGCACTGTAGATGTTGTATCCCAAAATTTAGTGCAAGCTTAACGTATTTACATGCTTTACGTGTTCAGTTTCCATCATCATCAGCAGCAAAGCGTTCGCGCGCTTTGCTGTGCTAGAGCAACACCTCCTAGATTTCTTGTGCCTGCCGAATGAGCGCAAAACGCCGGTCATCTACGGAAACGCTGCCTACGTAAGAAAAGGGTCTTTGTACTTGGCCTTTGAGATCGGCAATTTTGGCGTTTGTTACTATTTTCAAAGGATGCCTTGTATTAAAAAAGTTGCTTGATGAATGACGACGTCACTTACGTAGGGTTAATTAAAATTACGTGTACGTCTTTTTAAAACTTTTTAAGTTATTTTTGTTGCATATAAGCTTCAAAAACGTAAAAACTTATTTGAAGGCACTCCTACTTGATTGGCGCCACCACCATAGTTTTGACGACCGCCGCTCCCCAAGTGACCACCGATAATCCGGCAGGCACAAGAAATCTAAGAGGCGTTAGCTAGAGTGTACTAGAAGTGTTCTAGTACACTGTAGCTGTGCATTCTTGATGTACGGCTTCCTCTATGATGTACATATGTACATCACTCTATGCATCAAATATCTTACACCGAAGATGTGGCACTTTGTGTTCTCGTGCTTGTCGTTGTCGTAGTAACCGGCTTGGGTAAACGGTAGGAATGTGGAGAAGACGTGTTTCACTGAACTGACCGATTTGAAGTGTGTTTTTTTTTTTAAAACGGCTGGGGACTGCGGATATAAACATAGCAGCGTAAGTGAAGCAAATCAGTGCTACGACGCGTCGTAAAACTGATTTGTCCACACTATCTAGAAACGTGTTTAGTCTTGGATTGCCCTTTCAAACCGTACTGCGCACCACGACCTCATCCATAAACTTCGTCGTGGTGTGCGGTGAGTGCACACACATGCACATACACACGATTGGTAGGGCCAAGTGATCGCGTACATGTGACACTACGTCCGTGTCCACGTGTCAATCCTTGTTTATAGGCACCTGCTGTGAGCGCCGATATGTTTTGTGCCATGCGATCTTGTGTTTCGTATAAAGTGACCGTACTGCACTTACTGACAACACCTTTTGTTTTTCGCAGCACACGTAATGGCGCGGCAAAGAAAGCTGGAATCGACGCGGCCTGCGTCTGGACGTCCAACGACTAAACCACCAGTTGCACATGTACGAAAGGCTAGCGCAGAACGGAGGTTCGATTCCAAGTTCACTATGTTTGTGGCATTTAATGGTTGCCTCATAGTTTCTGTTGTACTTTATGTGTACTTCCTGCATTATTTGGAATCGTGGGTCATCCGACCAGTGGACCTGCCGAAAGTGACCGTCAAGTCCACGCTCGACATTCCAGAGCGGTTTTGGGGGAGCTACAGAAGTTCATTGTACTTTGGCTTGAAGACTCGTAGCCCTCAGCCGTTGGTGGCTGGACTTATGTGGTTCTCCCACAAGCTAAAGAACCAAAACTTACCCATCAGGCATTGGTGCAATCAGTGGGACAGACTTCAGAAGTATGGATGGACACGACACGATGGGGTCAACTTTGGAGTGCAACAAATAGTTGACGAGGAATTTGTGATTGAGACATCTTTCGTAAAGAGAGCAGGTGGCCGAAATGGTGGAGATTGGACGGCACGAATTTCTGTCAATCCGAAGGTAAGATCCTAAAAAATATTGGGTGTTAAAACTGTCTAATGACTGAAAACATGCTGTTTTTGTTGTTTTTTTTAGGTACCAGGCGCTGTTCTTACAGCTCCACTGTCTCTACTGTTTTACTTTGCTACTGATGGCCATGGACACCTCTGGCCAAATGTTGATGGCAAGTCTCGCCTTGGATACATTCAGGGAGAAACTTCGGATTTGGGGCAGTTTACAGCTACATTTCATGATAGGAACCCACAAAATGTGGTGCATTATAGCTACCTCAGTACACTGGCACCTGGGCTCGAAAGCCTGAAGGAAACTGTTCTCCACAATTTGATGATTCTCAGACGTAAAAAGGGCGCGAGGGATCTTTATGTCACTCGTGGTACTGTCCTCTCTGCGGAGGATAGAGAACGCAAGTCTCCAAACTTTGTTCTCACCCAAGTGACAGTAATGCCTCCATACGAACTAGAAGTAATCTTTGAGTCTGGAAGTTTTGAGGACCGGCCAAACAGACTTAGTGAAAATATTTATGAGCAATCTTTGGCTGAGTATAGCGCCAAGTTTGATGAACGGTTTGGCATGCTATTTAATCTGCAGAGCAAAGGTTTTAGTGAGGAAGATAATGAAGCTGCTAAAGAAGTTTTGAGCAATTTGGTGGGAAGTATTGGCTATTTCTATGGCTCTTCCTTAGTTCAGTCTTCTCATAACAAGGAACCTGTGGAATACTGGAAAGCTCCTCTCTATACTGCAGTGCCATCACGATCTTTCTTTCCTAGAGGATTCCTCTGGGACGAAGGTTTCCATAATCTTTTGCTAATGCGATGGGATCCGAAGATCTCCAAAGACATACTTGGCCACTGGCTTGACCTCATGAATGTAGATGGTTGGATACCACGTGAACAAATCCTTGGTGCTGAAGCACGCACCCAAGTTCCAGCTGAATTTGTTGTGCAGAGAGACACAAACGCAAATCCACCAGCCTTGTTGCTTACACTTGAAGCCCTTCTAAGGCAGCGTGATGTTCTGGCCAGACATGGAGATTTCCTTCGACGAGCTTTTCCACGTTTTCTGAAGCTTTTCCAGTGGCTGAATAGCACACAAGTGGGTAAACTGCCTGGCTCCTATCGATGGCAAGGCAGGGATGCCAGCAGCCGCACAGAACTAAACCCAAAGACCTTGACATCAGGACTGGATGATTATCCGAGGGCATCGCACCCATCTGAAGATGAGCGTCATGTAGACCTTTACTGCTGGTTAGCTTTTTCATCTGGGGTATTGGCTGAGGCAGCACACCTCCTGAATCATCCCAGCAGTGGCAGCCTAACAGCCACACACCACATGTTGAGTAACACAGCATTGCTGGACAAACTGCACTTATCTTCACAAACAAATCGATACTGTGACTATGGCCTCCACACAGACAAGGTGCGCCTGGTGGAGCAGAAACCACCACCAGGCCAGGCGCCAGGAGCACCACCACTGCCCAAGGTTCGACTGACAATGGAAGCACCACAACTGCAGTTTGTGGAACACTTTGGCTATGTTAGTCTGTTTCCCTTGCTCCTGCGTTTGCTGACTCCCGACCACCCTGCACTGGGAAAGCTGCTGACAGACCTTCGAAATCCAGCTCTGTTGTGGACCAACTATGGCTTGAGGTCACTTTCCAAGGACTCGCCCATGTACCTTCAGAAGAATACGGATACTGACCCACCGTACTGGAGAGGTCCAGTTTGGATAAATATTAACTACTTAGCAGTAAAGGCACTCCATCACTACAGTGAACTTCCAGGACCATTTCAGGAGAAAGCGTTTCAAATGTACAAGGAGCTCAGAAGCAACATCATCAGCAATATTCTAAAGGAGTATCGTCAGTCCAATTACATATGGGAGAACTATGATGACATCACAGGCAAGGGTCGTGGATCTCATCCCTTTACTGGCTGGTCAGCCCTTGTGGTGCTACTCATGGGTGAGGTGTATTAGCATTATGTTTTATCATTTTGTGCAGGATCTGGGAGAGAAGTCATTCTACTTTATTTTTTATTAAAGCTTAAATGCTTTTTTTTTATTGTGTTCATGCCTGTTACTGCAAAAAAGAGCAAAGAGGTGCCAAAGAATATGTACGTAGCTATTTTGATAAAACTAAATAAAAAGGATCTAAGTCGTTTCCCGATGTAAACCAGTGAGTTTCATCGCGTAACTCTTTTGATTCTACATGAGACTTCTTATGCGTCTTTCATTTTTCTATACATTATAGTGTATTAAAGCATCATCACACTACAAAAATTCAGAGCACAATATGTAGTCCTCGCAGTATCACCATGTAATTTTTACCATTAATAACATTCAGTTTATAATGACAGAAAATTGAGCTACTTGTCTTTGTCTTTATGTTGCTGTGTCTTCACTTGTGTCCACAGTATTTCTTGGGAGCTTCACATCCCAAAATCATATTATTATGAGGCTGCAGTGGAGGGCTCCGGAAATTTTAACCACCTGGGTTTCTTTAAAGTGCACCTAATCTAAGCACATAGGTCTCTAGTATTTTGCCTTGATCAAAATGCGGTTGCCACAACGAAGATTCCATCCAGTGATTTTTGGGACAACCATGGCAAGTCACTTGCCAAGTGCACACCTGCTCATCTTATCTTTTTCTACGAAGCTTCATAATGTTGCTGTAGCAACTCTGATAAGGAAAGTTGCAGTGCGTGAATACATTGTTCACGTTACAATTTTAAAATGCACACATCTCGTTGCTTCGCCATTTTGTCAAGCAACAAACAAGCATAGTGTGTGGACCATTTGGTAGAAATTACATCTGTAAATTTTGATGCTCTTGCGCGATACAAAAATAGTTTAAATTTAAAATCGGCTGTGGCCCCTTCACAGTAGCCGCTCTTGAACAAATGCAAGCTAACACACATGTATTTATGGGAGCTGTGTTCGGAACATTCAAGGCCAGCCTTTGAAGACTCACCCCATCGCGGTGGTCTAGCGACTAAAGTACTCGGCTGCTGACCCG